AGCCTTAAAAAAATCTCTTGTCACTGTACAGAAACTAGGAGAAAAATAGTGAATCTAAATTGCTGTTCTACAAGTACGAGATGATAGCCAAGCCTTTATTATATTCAATGCTTAATGCCCATGTCAGGAATGCCCAAAATACATTATTAGCACTGATGAAACCTAACTTAGATTTTCTTAAGATCAGAGTCAGTCTAAAGAAATACGAGTGAACTGTCATTGATGAAGAGAAGGCGAGAACACCTATGGTATTCACATTTACTTATGTGTGATCTGTAGGGACTTAACAAATTACTCTTGATCATGGAGCTCTATTTCTAAAATGTTTTAAGATCATATTAAAGAAAAAACCAAAAAAGATAAACACCATGTTGAAGTAGCTCTTCTACTAGCCACATTAAAAGAAAAAAAGGGTTTAAAAATCTAAGGTACTTCGTTTCTTTTAAAGAGCCTTGACCTCCCTTTAAGCATTTACAGTACCTTACTTCTCCCTGGTCACCTACTGTCACAAAATATGCAGTGTTAATAAGGTCTTTGGCTCTCCAATGGCAATTGGTAATTATATTATCCAGTGAGTTTAAAAATTTTAAACAAACCAACAGACACGTGTACAGACAGACACAGATACATGTATTTAAGTATATCCATATATAAAAACGTACAAAAAATATAAAGAAGTTTTCTTTTCTTTGAAAATTAGGCAATTCTCCGTATTCACCAATTTCAGAAAGAGAAGCTTCAGTTTACTCTACTTGGGAAGTGGTTTGGGGTACAGGGGTACCAGGTGACGCTGCCCCTACCGCGGCCTTTCCTGCCCTGGCTGGCTCTACCTCACTGACCGCTGTCAGCGTCAGGAGTGGGGAACGGCCTGGGAGCTGTTTGTCCCAGACTGAACCTTCAGAGCCCTTAAGCCCTCAGGCCCTGCGGTCTCTGCGCGTCGTGCATCGTGGGTGCTCGGTGAAGGAATGGAGGAGGCTCAGAGTCCAAGAACCTTCCCAGAAACCGGATTTATTGTAGGAACAGGAACAGTGGACGGGGAAGGGACTGGAAAGGTCAAAGGCAGGACAAACTGAGCGAGGAGCACCTCTGCGACACAATTTAAGGTGGAGAGGGTACAAACCCAGGAACCAATCAGGGCATCTCAGGGGAGGAGTTGGGGGGCGGGTTTACAATGTTGGGGACCACTAGGGACAACACGTGGGAGGGGCGGCAGTTACAACGCCAATGGGGCTTTGAGGAAGGGCTGAGAGGCAGGGAAGGAGCTAGAACAAGAGGTGGGGTTTACATGGATTGATAGGGCTCGGGGGCAGGATCAGGGTGATGTATGGGGAACAGTCTGGAAAAAGGGGACAGGGTTTACAATAATTGACAAGTGGGTGAAACCAACACAGAATCGCGGGGGGGCAACAGGAACAAACCAACGAATTATATGAATAAAACTAATCGACTGCCTGCAACATCTCCCCCTTTCTTTTTCAGCGACGATGTTGCAAACGCGGGGGGTGCGGAAGGCTCAACAAACCAGTCTTTAAGTGATGGAGAGGGAGGGGGCGAGGAGGAAGGAGGAGAGGGAGCATTGACAAAATTAACTTGGGGAGAGGGAGCTACGAGGTGCAGAACCGATTGAACTAAACATCTTTTTAAAATTGCGAATGCAACTAGAACTATGAAAATGATGAAGACAACCCATAAAACAGTCTTTAGGACAGATGCGAGCCATCCGGACAGTCCCCAGGTGGAAAAAATGTTGGTGGCCCAGTCTTCATGTTCTTGTTTTATTTGGTGGACCATGCTTCTCATCTGTTCGATGGTCTGGCGAATGGAGGGGCTCTTTGATGTCAGGTTTAAGCAGCAAAGCCCTTCAAATTCCCTGGAGTCATGGTTGTGCAGGAGCAGCAGGAAATCTGTGGCCGCCCGATTTTGGAGGGTGGCTTGCCTGGTTATTTCCTCGTCTTCGAGGAGGTCGCTTAGCGCAGCTGACGTTAAATTTGCTTGTTTTACTACCCAACACTCAAATTGGCCCAATTCTCCAAGGGCTTGAGCAGTGGCCAACCAAGGCAGAAAAACAGACACTGCCACCCGTTTTAGTTTGCTCCAATGAAAAATTTCTGAGTCGCAGTCTGGATCCAGTTCGTCCAGGCTGCACTTCTTGATAACCGAACTGTTCTTTTGGCTCCAATTTTCAATTTGGGTCGTGTTGGGCGAAAACAAGGACAGCCGGCCCAATGTGCACGGCCCTCCGAGAAGGCAAGAGGGGATGCCCGCCCATGCTCGATCTCCACAAATTAAAAATAAACCTTTGGGCAACCAAAGAGGGGTAGGGCTGAGGGTTGAGGGCATCTCCACGTGGGCAACATTTAAGCACCAACTTGCTGCTTGAAACTGACGGTTGACTTGCACCACTTTAGGATAGGGAGCAGGGTCAGAGGGGTAATAACGAAAATGAACACAAAGTGACGCCGGGGAGGAATCTAAAAGATCAAACTCTTGGGGCTCAACGGTCGCCTTCTCTAGTGTGGCTTGCCAGTCCCTCCAGAGGACGAGGGGGTTTTTTACTGGCCTTTTGATTTTATACACCAGAGCAGAGCGGACAACACGCTGAGCCGGCTTTCCCCGGTTGGCGTCTTGAAGTAAGGTGGTAAGGGACAGGAAACTTCTGGTTTTAGAGGGATCCCCACCAGGCATGTTGTCATTGGGTTTCCTACTGCTCCGGTTCATCTCTCTGCAGGGACTTCACCAGCATGACCCATATGTTTTGCTTGGGTTGAGGCACGATCCACCCTTTTGTTTGGACCGCGGCCAGCAGCACACTGAGGATGGTGATAGCGATCTTTGGGACTGTCATTTTCTGGATGGCTCTCCCTAAAACGAAGGAAACAGATACCAAACATAACTCAACTGAAAGGATGGATCTCCAAAGCAAAAGATTTGGGGGTTTACTCCGCTTCCTCATTGGGGGTTTGGAGATGACCTATTCAGACGAAATGACACCCTCGTTTTGATCTGGTGGCCTGCTTGGATGTTTCGGGACGTACAGTTTCACCCACCTTTGTGGGATCCACCGCAGTCCCTGGGGCAAAGAAACCCTCGCCCCCCCTCGCCCCCAGGTCACCAAATCGAACGGACCCATAACTTGTTGGGTCTCGGGGTCCCGGACCAGCACTGGAGGGCGCTGCTGTAACTTGTAGCTGCTGGCGGATGGAAAAATGCCAGGCCACTGGAGGATTAAGGTCGTTATCTGAGCAGTTTAGGAAATTTAACGTGTAAAGAGCTTTGCACAACCGCTCTTGTGGGGTGCAGCTCTTCACCGTCTCCCTTTGATGGACAAGGACATGCTTGAGCGATTGATGGGCTCGCTCAACAATCGCTTGGCCCGTGGGGGAATGCGGGATGCCTCTCTTGTGTGTCACTCCCCACTCTTGCCGGAAATCCTCCAGTTTCCTGGAGGTATAAGCTGGGCCATTGTCTGTTTTAATCTCTTTGGGGACCCCCAGCACAGAGAAAGCTTGCATGAGGTGTTTACATACATGCTCGACTTTCTCCCCTGTGTGGGCAGAGGCATAGATAGCACCCAAGAAGGTGTCAATGGAAAGGTGTACATAGCGGAACCTGCCAAATTCTGGGACGTGTGTGACATCCATTTGCCACACTTCGCAGCTCCCCAGGCCTCTGGGGTTGACCCCAGCTCCCAGAGAGGGCATGGCGGTGGACTGGCAGTGTGGACATGTGGCCACAATGGCTCTGGCTTGATCTCGCCTCAGGTGGAATTGGCGGACCAGTCCAAGCACATTCTGGTGGAACATTTGATGACTCAGCTCGGCTTGCTGGAACACATCAGGGAGTTGAGCCATAGTAACAAGGGCAGCGAGGGAATCAGCTCTTTCATTTCCCTCGGCTACCGGGCCAGGGAGCTCTGTGTGCGACATCACATGCATCACGAAAAATGGCTGCTTTCGGTGGGAAACGGTAAAAATTAACTTGGAAAGCAGCTTGAACAGCTGCAGATTGGAGACCTCCTTTAGGGTGGCATTCTCTGCCCTAGCTACCACCCCCGCAATATATGCCGAATCTGTGACCAAATTAAATGGTTCGGGGAATCTCTCAAAGGCTCTGACAACGGCATCTAACTCAGCGACCTGTGGAGATCCCTCCACATATTTAACATCCGCTTCCCACCGCTGAGTTTGAGGATCCACCCAAGTCACAACTGACTTGTGGGATGCTCCAGATGCGTCAGTGAAAACTGTCAGGGCTTTGAGGGGTTTTCGACTCCGAATTGATCTTGGAATAATGTTAAATTTAGCATTAAAGAATTTGTGTGCTGGGGCATGGACTGAAACTTGTCCACTGTAGCTGTCAAACGTGATTTGGAGAGCCTCGTTCTCCTGTAACAGCTGTTCAAACATCTCTTTTGTCAGCTTATCTGGGGACGCCTTGTCCCGAGACAAGTTGACAGGCACCTGTACACATGCAAAATCGCACCCTGCCATCTCCTTAAGCCTGGCTCGAGCTTTCCTGACAAGCTGAGCCACCAGCTCTTGTGGCCAGGTGATACTCTTTGATCATTGGTGACTCAGGAATACCCACTCTATGATCAAGAGTGGGTCCCTTGAGTTTTGATCCCACTGGAAGATGAGCCCACACAGGTGTGGCACCCTTCCCAAGATTATACACTCAAACAGCAGAGTCGGCTCATACCGATGTGCCTGCCTTTCCATTAAAGCAACGTGCACCTTCCCTAGTGCTTCTTTTGCCTCTGGGGTCAGGGTCCTAGGAGAACCAAGCTCCTTCTCCCCCTTCAAGAGCATGAAGAGGGGGGCTAGGTCTTCGGTAGTGAGGCCCAGCCAAGGCCTGACCCAGTTTAAGGTCCCACACAGGGAATGAAGGTCCGCCAAAGTCTTTGGATTATTGTTTATAGCCAATCGTTGAGGAACAATGGTCCTCTCAGTAATCCTCAGACCCAGATACCTCCAGGGTGGCATCCTTTGAACTTTGTCTTCCTAGAGCTGGAAACCTGCAGATGTTAGAACTCTAACCACTAGGTCAAGTGATTGAGTAAGCATATCGTCATGGGGGGCGCACACTAGGACATCATCCATATAATGATAGATGATGACCTCCCTCATTTCGGCGCGGACAGGAGACAGCAATGAAGAGACATACCACTGGCAGATGGTCGGCGAATTCTTTATCCCTTGTGGTAATACTCGCCAGTGGTATCTCTTCATTGGGGCTTCTCGGTTAAGAGTGGGCACCGAGAAGGCAAACCATGGGGCATCGTCGGGGTGTAGGGGAATTTGAAAAAAACAGTCCTTAGTGTCAATCACAGCCAACTTCCAATTTCGGGGGAGCATGGTAGGGGTAGGCATCCCTGGTTGAAGGGGCCCCATGTCCACAATGAGCTTGTTAATGGCACGAAGGTCGTGGAGGAGGCGCCACTTGTCTTTCCCTGGCTTACGGATGACAAAAACCAGAGAATTCCAAGGGCTAGTTGTCTCTATGATGTTCCCTTTAGACAACTGCTCCTCCACGAGTTCGTTGAGTGCCCTTAATTTATCCCTTCTGAGCGGCCACTGATCAATCCAAACCGCTTCATCAGTTACCCAATCCAGCTTTTGGAAGAGGTGCTCCACAGTGGCCGCCTCTAAAAATCCCGAGGGGTTTTCGGGATCTCTATTTTGACCCCCCACTGGGACATGAAGTCTCTCCCCCACAGAGGAACCTGATAATCTGCCACGAATGGGCGTAAATGAGCCAATTGCCCATCCAGCCCCGCAATTTGCACCATGCTCTTAGAAACCCTCGCCAACTGTGTACCCCCTATGCCCTGTATCTTGCCAGCCACGGGTTGCAACTCCCAATGTGACGGCCATCTCCTTTCGGGGATGATCGTCACATCTGCTCCCATGTCAAGCAGTCCTTTCATCTGAAAGGATTCTGCACCCTGCTTGACGCTGCAGTCCAGGATGGGCTTTTCCTCACCCACCACTTCTGCCCAGTAGACGCCTGGTGCGTGGTCGTCTACTGGGACCTGTTCAGGTACTGGTATGAACTGGGCAATGATTTGCCCCTTTGGCAAAAAGAAGGGTGGATGAGTGCAGCGTGCCAGGAGAATGAGGTTCTCCGGACCACCCGGAAAGGTGATTGGAGAAATCTCAATCTCTGGGGGTGTGTGCTTGGTGTCCCCGATGCCGATGTACTTACTGTCACGTCCGGTGTCCATTATCTTTTCCTCCAGTGGGTCCACAGCTACTACTGTCCAGTGCTGGGACCGAAAGAGGATGTCTCGTGTCGTTATCAAGTGTCTCGTCCAGTGAATAGGCCATGTCCGGTTGATGTTTCCCCCCTCCTCCGCGATACTTGCCCCATTTGTTGCTTCGCGCGGGGCAGGTTCGCGCCACGCTTTTAGTTTTATTGAAGACTCTCTCTCCCCCTTTTCCCCCCATGTTGCCCCTTGCAGGTCCAGGGCAGGGATGCGCGGCAGGGCAATCCCTGGCCATGTGTCCCAGCTGCCCACAGCGATAGCACTGGAGAGGCCTTCCAGATGGTGGTGGGGGTTGGCCTGGCGGGTGCTGGGCCCCTGCTGCAGTTGGTGGTCTCTTGGCCACCGGTGGTAGTGGTGGCACCTTGGATGCCCTCACTAATGGCACTTTCTTCTCGCTTGCATCAATGAGGTCATCCAAGGTTGGCGGTAGATACAAAGGCAGGCTGAAAATAACTTGTTTACAACTATCATTGCAGTTAGCCTTTGCCATTTCTAGGATAAGCTGCTCCTGCAGCTCAGGTCTGTCAGCTTGCCTCTCTATCTGCTCCTGCAATCCGTTAACAAAAATAGTAAAGGGCTCATTGGGGGACTGCTTGATATTTTGAAAAGTTGGTCAGGGGTTCCCCCCCCGGCAAGATGTTAAATGCCTTCTCAGCGGCCTCTGTTATTTTAATAAAGACAGGCCGGGGTAAAACCCTGGCCTGTTCTTCTGGCTCCCCCCAATTCCCCTCACCGCACAGGTGATCTATCGAGAGGGGGTTTTCGTCCGCGTCAACTGCGGACTCCTCGCTGCGCAACAGCTCAGGAAGGATGGCCTCCAACGACTTCTTCCACCTCTGTTTCCACAGACTATAGTCAGCTGGAGAAAGGAGGCAGGCAAACAACTCTTCCAAATCGTGGGGGACCATCTCGTTCGCGGAGAAGATGGCTTTTAATAAACCCTTAAAATATTCACTTCTCCTGCCAAACTCCTTCTGGGCTTTGCACAGCTCCCTCTTTGTCTGGAAAGAGAAGGGTTCCCATTCTTGGTACCTCCCTCCCTTTCCTCTAAAACTGACCGGTGCAGCAAAGGGAATCACAACCTGTTCCGGGTTCTGGTCCTCAGGCCTGTCACTTCTGGTCCCCAAAGCGTGGGGACCGGATGGGACGGCATGGGAACCGGAAGGAGGGGCGTGGGAACCAGAAGCCGGAAGAGGCGGGGCTGGAGGACCGACTGAGGAGGAGGGTTGGAGGGAGGAGCAGCGGCCGGAAGGGGTGGGGTTTTGGGAGGTCACACTTTGGGGACACGCCCCTGAGGAGGAGGAACCACCCAAGGGGAAGTGGGAGGAGTCAGGGTAGGATGGAAGGGAGGAGCTAGGGAGGAAGGGGTTGGTCCTTGAGGGAAGAAAGGGGTTCTGGGAAGAAGGAGCACAAGGGAGGGGTCTGACCATGCGGTCTCCGCCATCTTGTGCCCCTTGGGGTCCATTTTGAGGGTCAGGCAGGGCACGGGGAGACATAGGGGAACACTGGGGATAAGGGAAAATAGGGGATCCAGGGTTCTGGGAAAGTAACTGGGGATCATTAACTTTATTAAACTGGGGATTTGCAACTTGGAAAGGGATAACTTCGGATGGTCAACTGGGGAAGTAGGGGAATGGGTAAGAGCTCCGACAGCTTGGACAGGGCTACCGGGGCAAGGGTTCTGAGGGAGGCTTGGGAAGCCAGGGAGACTGCTGCCGACTTCGGAGCCCTGCGTTCTACGGGTTGCTCTGCAGGTCTCCCCCAAGTTAGGAGCATGGGGATGGGGAAACTGGGGAAACTGAAGAAACTGGGGAAGGCTGCGTTGGCTGCCTCTGCATCCCCCTTTTTTCAATTAAGGCAGTCCGAATTAAAACGAAAAGTGGAATTAATTTGGTGGCTGTTTTGTCCCCCTGAACCACTAAGGCCGTTAATTTGGACACAACAGAATTCCAAAATGACACCGAACTAACATTTTCAGGGGACACATGGGGGAAATGCAGGAACAGCCAATGTACCAGTCTTTTAACCAACCCACGTGAAAACTTATAATTCCCACCCTCAAGGATACCCGCAACTTGGAGGAAAATCCCCTTCTGGAGAGCCGACAAACGTGCGCCCATCTTCTATTCCTCCCCGGCTCCGCAGTTCCACCGCCTCCCAGCAGCAAAGGTAAACTTAAAGAACTAAAAATAAGGGTCAGGACCGGACTCACACAGCACCTCCCCCCGGGGGAGTACACAACACACAAGGGGGACTCACACACACCTCCCCTTTTTTCCCCCACTGGGGAAACTCACCAGGTCCTGACTTGGGCTGTGGAAGGCGTCCAAGCCCCAGAAGCGGTCTCCTGCGCACTGGAGGTTGTCGCTTCTTCCCCGGGAGCGCCGCCGGACAAAAACCGACCTGCTACAACCGGGGTAGCTGCCGCCCACAAGTCTTTGTAATCCACACTGGATCAACTCCTCCGAGGGCCTCCACAGGCTGCAGAGGCCCCACGTTGGGCGCCAGCTGACGCTGCCCCTGCCGCGGCCTTTCCTGCCCTGGCTGGCTCTACCTCACTGACCGCTGTCAGCGTCAGGAGTGGGGAACGGCCTGGGAGCTGTTTGTCCCAGACCGAACCTTCAGAGCCCTTAAGCCCTCAGGCCCTGCGGTCTCTGCATGTCGTGGGTGCTCGGTGAAGGAATGGAGGAGGCTCAGAGTCCAAGAACCTTCCCAGAAACCGGATTTATTGTAGGAACAGGAACAGTGGACAGGGAAGGGACTGGAAAGGTCAAAGGCAGGACAAACTGAGCGAGGAGCACCTCTGCGACACAATTTAAGGTGGAGAGGGTACAAACCCAGGAACCAATCAGGGCATCTCAGGGGCGGAGTTGGGGGGCAGGTTTACAATGTTGGGGACCACTAGGGACAACACGTGGGAGGGGCGGCAGTTACAACGCCAATGGGGCTTTGAGGAAGGGCTGAGAGGCAGGGAAGGAGCTAGAACAAGAGGTGGGGTTTACATGGATTGATAGGGCTCGGGGGCAGGATCAGGGTGATGTATGGGGAACAGTCTGGAAAAAGGGGACAGGGTTTACAATAATTGACAAGTGGGTGAAACCAACACAGAATCGCGGGGGGGCAACAGGAACAAACCAACGAATTATATAAATAAAACTAATCGACTGCCTGCAACATCCAGGCTTTCAGGGGTGTATTTTCCAGACTTACACAATTATTTCAGTATCTAGTTTCATAAATTCCACAGTACATGGAAAACCTTTTCCTTCTGTCATACCCGTAACAGCATCAAGTGCACATTGCATAAACTCCAAGCACAGCCTACAATCATATTTGAGGCTATTTTCATCTTCTGAAGTAAACTAAAAAACTAAATTCAGCATTTTTTTATTTTAACGTTTTATATTTTAATTCTTTTATTTTAATATTCTGTTCACTTAGAATTATTAATTTATTTGCTTTGAAGACTTTAGAAAGCCCACAGGTAACTGAGGAGTATAATAAATACCTCTGTAATTCTCAGATTATAACCTTTCTGAGGCTGTAGTTATTTTATGGTAACACCCTTCCAGATTCCCCATAAAGGTTTTATTAGAGATGTCAGCTGATGCATACTAACTGCTTCTGTAAGATGAAATGCCTTCTAGAAGTGTAAGCAGAAAGTTCATATTTCTAACACATTATCATTTCTATTGTGTACAGTATTTGTATTTCAATATATTGTAGACATAAATAAAATTTACGCATTAATAACAAAATTTGGGTTGTACTTGATGCAGGTATTGTCTTATTATTGTTTCCATCTACTTTTGACAGAAATATTATTATTTTCATTTGTTCTGAAGGGACTACCTGATGCTATCAATGTTTACTTTAAGAGAATGTTCCATAAATCATTCATAGTAAAGATGAAGAAATTACAGAACTTTGAAGTATAAAATGCAAGTTTAGCAGCAGCGTGTATTGAATGTATCTTCAGACCAACTTGTAGAAAATATGCAAAGGAAATGGAATTTTCCTGGTACAGGCAGTCTGTGGCTCAATATTACACCAGCCACTCCAGAGTTTTGAATACATTTTTTCTCCATCTACTCTATCTAGCTGTGTTTCACTGAATCAACCTTTAAAGGAAAAAATGTCAAAATCTAGTGAGGAAAAGAAATGAATTTGTGTGCTGTTTACATAGTGATATATTCACCTGGTTATTATAGGATGATATGAGTTAAAATAATGCTGTTGAATGAGAGCAACAAAGAACTTCCAGTAGGCACCATGGAAACTCATAATCATAAAGCCATCTTAGACTAGGATAATAAAAATATACTTAAACAGACTTTGTTCCTTAGTGATACAGGATAAATCACAAAAAGAAAAATGGAAATAATGATGGCAAGACTACAACAGAGTCATTATCTGTAGACAGTGCAGAGGAAATAGCAGTGAGATAGCCATAGTCATAGCGATGGCATTAGGGGTCACTTACACCAAGATGACTGAACGTGTTTTTGAAATGGCATATACAAACTTTAAGTATATATGATATTAAATATATATGATATAGATATATGGGAGTTCATTTTCCATTTTATATAGAGTATTTCACAAGAAATATTTAAGTAACTTTTTAAATTATGACAGTATAATGCTTCTAGACCTGTATAATTAAAGGTATATTTTTCTGCTTCATTACATCCCTGAAGCTCTTTGCCCCAGATTAAGACTGGGTGGATACTTTGGATTGATCAGGCAAGCCACTGTAAAATATTCTTAGTTTGGGATTTATGGGTAGGGGCTAAGTAGCTAAAAGTCAGGAGAAGACTTTAAATATTAGTTCATTTAGAAAATGCAATAGCTTTTAAAATAGCATCCAACCTATTTACCTTCTTTTTTTATGGTAAGCGTGTTAATTAGCTTTCTGTGAGCATATAAATAAAAGTAGTACACAAACTCCTCACAGGTTTACTTACTGTGCTCTGGTGCTATTTTTACCTAGTCTTGTTTGCTGTATAGAAATCTTTAATATATGAATATGAACTGTGTCTTTCAAAACTGTATTTTTCTGTTCATGTTTTTCTTTACAAATGCAGAAAGAAGGAAAAAATATAGATACCAAAGCTGATAAGGCTATTATAAAAATAATTCACTAGAGACAAGATGCCCCACACTCTTCTTCCAAGATATATTACTTTTTAGGCTCAAAGGAGCTACAAATCACATTTCAAACTCTTGAAAGCAAGGTTTGGTATATCATACGATTAATCTGGAGCTTAAGGTCATGGTACTAACACATATTTCTAACAGATATTTTGATTTAGAATAGGAGAAAAGAGAGTATCTTCAGTTGGAAGATCATCTAGCTCCAGTCCTCTTGCCATGGGCAGGGACACCTTTCCACTAAGCCAAGCTGCTCAAAGCCCCATCTAACCTCTTCTCAAATACTTCCAGAGTAGCCACTGATTCCCTGTGAGTTCCAGAGCCTCACTATCCTCACAGTGAAAATTTTCTGCTCAACATCTAATCTAAACCTGTCCTCCTTCAGTGTGAAGCCATTTCACCTTATCCTACCTCAACATGCCCACGTCAAAAGTCCTCTCCCATGTTCTCCTGTAGGTCCACTTTAGGTACCAGAAGGATGCCCCCTGGAGCCTTCTCTCCTCTAGGCTGAACAACCCCAGCTCTCTCACCCTGCTTCTGCAGAAGAGGTGCTCCAGCCCTCTGATGATCTTCGGACTCTCTCCAAAGGTCCACATTGTTATCTTGGAGTTCCCTGGGTGCAACACTCCAGGTGGGGTATCATGAGTGGAGTAGAGGGGAAAAATCACCTCCCTTGACCTGCTGGCCATGCTGATTTTGATGTGGCCCACCCAGATATGTCAGGTTCTTCAAGGATCTCTCTTGCTGTGTATTT